GAATTGTTTGAGTGTTTTACAAATAATGTTTTGAGTCAGGTTTCTTCATTTGAAGACATAGTTTTCATGTTACAGAAAATATGCAATGGGAAATTTTTATGAAATGACTTTGATTTGCACTTACTATTTGATACATTGTCTCCTATTTATACTAAAAGAACGGACTGAGTAGCAGATACCAAGTGCCGTGCAAATATTTAATAGAGATATATGTTAAATTCTATTTGAATGTGTTAATTGAAGAGTATAAAATTCTAATTACTTAATAACTATAAATATTTAAAAGCTGAATCTTTGCAGGTGGAGAACTTGATATATATTTTAAATGCTGTGTAAAGTTTATCATTTTTTACAAATTATAAGTTAATTAAATTTTAAGTTGTTATCCACACAATAGGGATACATAATAATCTTCAATAAAATGAGGTTTTTCTTTCATATGAAATTGATTAAATTGATTAATTAATTTTTAAAATCAACTTGAGATTTTTATTGTTAAAAAGTTGAATAATTTAACACATTCAAAGTTAATGTTAAAAAATAGTGAATTTTATATAGTGTTTTTGGAGACTTAGTACGAGCAAAACAACTTCACAGACTTGGATGAAAAAAAAAAACACAATATGTTATAATAATGTTTCCACTACAATTTGAATCTAATTTGTTAATTTTTTCTTCATCTAATGTGCTCTTCAGCACATGGCCAATCATAGCTCTCCACAACTTCCTTTCTTTTGTAGCTTTTAGTAAAGTTTGTCTTTTTGCTATATCTTGTAATCTTTATTATGCCAATCATTTACTCAAGTTCATTAGGCAGGGGTTAGTTGTCTTTAGTTTAATTCGTAATGTATATAAATTTAGGTAGAAAAAAGCAAACGTTGACAAGATAGTGAGGATTACAAATTGCTGTCTGGGGCCTCCAACCAGGCTTGAAACTTGTTAGGTCAGGGGCTCATTGGTATTACACATGAATATAGGAATAATTTATATCAATTTTAGTATATACTGAAACAGATGACTATATGACACAGACTGTCATAGGTAGAAGTTTCAAACAGAAAGAAAAAAATAGGGTCCCACAACTTCAATTTAAGGGCATTTGTAAACAAGACCTTGCATTGTTTAATCACAACACCCTGACACCTGGTAAAACACTGGGTCAACACTGCCTTCAATGACAGTAATGAAACTGCAGTAGGCCTTCAACATATGAGATCACATTGGCTCATCACAGAGAGGCCACAAGAACAGGTAGGAAGTACAAACAGTGGGAGGGCATCCCAACACTTCCTTGAGACCATTGGGACAGGCTGATACATACAACTGTAGTACTTTTCCAAAAAGAGGTAGAAAGCTAATAAGCCTATAGTTAGAAAGATCAGCTGATTAACCTGAGTTCTTAAAGACTGGAACTATAGAAGAGAATTTCCAACAAGCAGGAAAGCAAGTAGCAGTACAGCATTTATTGTAAAGTTTAGAGAGAACAGGAGCCTAGTTCAGGACTCAGGCTCTTAAGGATTATTGCAGGGATATCATCAAGTTGACATGTTTTGTGAGGATCCAGTTTAGGGATGACAGCAGATGTCATGGACAGAGTTATATGCATATCACTCAATAGAGACTCAGTTCTTAGTGGAAAGTCAGGAAAAGAAGATATTCCAGATGAGTCAAGAGTAAAATTTGAAGAGAATTTATGAGTAAAGCATTCTGTTTCATTAAAAGATGTTAACACCTCAAATTGAATGAAGAGAGCTGAGATAGAAAACTTATTCTTATTTAGTACTATCATAGAGCTGCCAGCAATCATGAAAACCAAACTTATTAGCGGCACTTATACAGTACCTCATTCTATCAGAAAACAAAGATTTATCCTATATGAAGATCTGTTTACAATTATTACAAGTAGACACCAAGAGATGTCTGTTGTGATCAGAACTATCATGCTGGTACAGCTGGAAAAAGTGATTCCTGTGGGCTATAGTGGCTGAACAAGCTGGTGCAAATCAAGAAGAAGATTGTGGTTTCAAGAAGGTAGAAAAGCATTGATGCCAGCCATAACCCAAGAAGAATCCTTTGTGGCACAGTTCTCAATGGGAAGGTTAAGAATATCAGTCCAAGAGGGCATCTTGAAGAAAGCCATGAAATGAATCACAATTAGTACATTGATAAAGGAGGCACCGTGGAGTAATGGATAGTGGCTCAGATTGAGGAATCGGAGAGCCGAGTTCGAATTTCGGTTGAATCCATTACATTCACTTACGTGCTAATATTCTTGGGAAAGGTATCAATCCTCTTCTTCTCCTCCCAGCTGTGGGTAAATAGCAGAATAAGCTGGGTTCTATAGCCTCGTCAGTCATGTATTGAAAGATACATGATCGCCTAAGCATGCATCACGCATGGCACATAACTGACTGACATTGATAACAGAAGAAAGTTTTGTGAATAGGAGTTTCTTCTCTAATAGACAACTCAAAAAAAATATCAAAAGATACTACAGTGTGATCCAAATTGCTAACAATGAAGTAAAGAAGCATGCTGATCAGATGATTTCTGAGGGAAACAAGTGGGGAAATCCATTATTTTACTAAGATATTGAACAACAGAAAAATTAAAAATCTGATACCAGCAATATCAGTAACATTAGAATGTTTAAGCCACTTGATGTGATGAGCATTAAAATCACCAAATACAAAAATGTTTGTACATGAATGTAGAGAGAGTACCATTTATATATTGTCAGAAATTTTATCTAATAACATCAGAAATAGACGACTAAAATTTATAGCACATATAATGAAGAACGAAGGCTTAGAAATTTTGACACTCACAGGACATACTGAAGGCAGAGGAAAGAAGTGCATGACCTATCTATCAAGCTTGGGTAAGTGATTGGCAGAACAGGGAGTAGGAGAGATAGCAAAAAGACAAAATTTGCTGGGAGCTACAAAGGACAGGAAATTGTGGAGAACCATGATCACTGAAGATGTTAATAGGTTGGGAAAAGAACTACTTTATAGAATTCCAGCTTGATTTTGTGCTAAAACATTTTATGGCTGTTTAATTTATAAATATATAGATATATTTTTAGATATTAATATTTGTAACAGTTTATATAGCAAATTGCCTATCTCAATAGATAAGAATTTCAAAAGATTTCAGGAAAAGATTAGCAAGACTAAAATCCTAAATCCTACAGATACTGTAGGCTACCAAATACAAGTACCAGCACAATTAAATTATTTCCAACAATGCTTCACCTCCTCAATAAGATAGTGCTCATTTGGTATGGCATGTATATTGTTTTTAAATGATCAATTTGGTTTAAACTTATATAAAAATTTGAAGTAGAAAATTTATATCAGTCCGTTATGTGCCATGCATGATACACGCATAGGCGATCATGTATCTTCCAATACATGAGTGACGAGGCAGATTTTTCCCACAGTAGGTTGCCATTTTTTTCTGTGGTAGACCAGTTGCCATCCAAAGCTATAGAACTCGGTCTGTCCTGCTATTTACCCATAGCTGAGGGGAGATGAGGATTCATACCTTTCCCAAGGGTATTAGAATGTAAGTGAATGTAATGAATTTGACTGGAATTCAAACTTGGCTCTCCGACTCCTCAATCTGAGCTGCTATTCATTACTCCACCGTGTCTCCTCATATATATATATATATATATATATATATATATGTATGTATGTATACATAAATGGACACTGAGGTCAACACCAAGCAGCAACAGCCTGTTTCATGCTTGATGCTTAATTGCAATCTTCAGGCTTGAAGATTATAGTCAAACATGAAACAAACTGTCAATGCTTGGGGTTGATGTCCACTTTTATATTTAGATAAACTCTGTCTCTGATATTGACCACTTTTACACATAAATATAGTATGCCTTAAAATTATATATATATATATGTGTGTGTGTGTGTGTGTGTGTGTGTGTGTGTGTATTTGGTTAAATACCATTATCAAAGATTTGTGGTTACCTTGCTATGTCATCATTTTCAATATGGTCTAGGGATTGAACTCATGACCACTAGATGACATCCATTCTTCACTAAACAATCATTATATGCACTACAACACTGTCCAAAAGTGTATCAGTCATGTATTTTTAGAATCTTTAAATTCAATGTCAGGTAGCAGTTTTGATATTTGGTTATCACAGCATCTTTGTGCCACTTTTCTTAATGTTGTTTGATTTTTGAGATGGGGAATTATCAATACACTATTGTTATAGGTATTATCATTATAGGCATAATGTTTCAACCAAATACTCTGTAGCCATCTTCAAGTATCCATCATTTTTGGCTAGATGAGAAATCTATCTATGCATTGATTATATTGTCTTATATTTGTCCTTGTAATGACTGTTCTTGTTTGTTCCTGCTAAACCAGAGCATTGTTTCACTACCTGGTCCAGGTATTGAAATTGTGACCACTAGATGAGACTATCATTATTACAGATTGTATTATACATTGTTTGCTTAAATTATTATCTTCATCTTTGTTATTATAGTTACAATAGTTGAATCATTGTATTCGCCAACTTATTTTGAGTGTCTGTTGTATTTGGTAATATTTTGGATTGACTAATAGCATGCATGGATGAGTGAAATAGCATTGGTTTACTGTATCAAGTCAACTAGCAGTTATGAGCTCAATCTCTGGATCAGGTTGTGTACATCATATACTCTGATTTAGTGTAAGAGGCAAAGAATGTCACAGGAATGAATTAACTGATTCTCTGTTATGATCAGCAGAATGAGAACAATCTCTAGTCATGTGATCAAATAAAGGGAGTTGGTTCAAAATTCTTGGAAAATTACCCACTACAACAGACACCTGGAGAATGTCACAGGAGACAGCAACCAAAACATTGTGACTATATCAACCAAGATGAGGACATGAGTTCAAGTAATATCCTCATCTGAAAAACTGCTTAGATATAAATTAACAAGCCTATCATTTTAGTTCAGACAAACTTACAATCAGATAGATTGAGAAATGAATGACCAGACAGATAATGCAAATAGTAAGCATTGTTGCTTTATTAACTGAATGTGTTTAACAAGAAGAAAATTTGAAAAACAAAAATATAGTAAATTAAAGATTATAAAAATGGAGCAAAGAGTAAAGAAGAAAAAATGGATTAACAAGCTGGGAAGAGAAGGAAAGAGAAAGGGCAGTAAAAGAAGGCAAAAGCAAATGGACAAGAGAAAGAGAAGGAAAAAGAAAAGGAAAAGGAAATAAAAGAAGCCAAATACAAATGGAAAAGTGGAAAGGAGAGAAAGCAAGAGAAAAAGAATGTAGTTAAGAATAAAGAAAGAAAGAAAGAAAGAAAGCAGGAGAATAAAGAATGTAGTTAAGAAGAGAGAAAGAAAGAAAGAAAGAAAGAAAGCAAGAAAGAAAGATAAGAAGAGAAATAAAGGAAAAAAGGAAAGGAAAAGGAAAGGTAAAACAATGAAGGACAAAAAAGAAAGACTGCAGAAGCACCAGACTAGATCTGACAGCATATCAAAGATGAAAAGCAAAGGGAAGAAATGATAATTGAATACTTACTCGAGATAACTCTTCCAGTTTACTTTGGGCATACTCTAATTTTTCTCGTTCCACATGATCGTGCGGAGTGTGTGCCAAAAGTTCATGAAGAGTAATGATGTAGCGAGGTATCTGAAAGACAAACCACATTATGTTAGCCACAACATCCCACTTAACCAGTATTCTTTTCTAATTACATTTTAATAACTGACTCTGGGGTGTTTCACTCCCTTCAATTGAAAATCCTTAACTCTGATGTCAAAACAAGGCACAACTTTACATTAATAATGTCTTTCTTTTGCTCTTGTCTCTTTTCTGATAAGCAAAACTTTATACTAAAGTTCTCCCAGTACAAGGTTTTAGAGCTACTCATGATAGAAATTTACTGTTATAATGGTTATGGTGAATGAGTGATATGAGTAAAAGAGGCAGTGACAGGAAATTAAAATTATGAGGGCAAGAGGGATAGAAAGTGACACTTGGCTTGTAGAGGTCAAAATTGTAGTATTCAGGGCAGTATCCATGTGGGAGTCTGTTCCACAAAGTAGCAGTTCTCAGGAAAATGTTGTCTCAGTGGACATTTTCTCCTTACAATTAGAATATAGTGGAAATGAGAGTAATTTGACTCTGTGGAAGTAACATGTCATATCCTAGCAGTAATGGTTTGAACTTTTGGACCTAAAGATTGGAGCTGATCTGAACATTTACCATAGAAATAACAATAGAGTAGTCACAAGCATACGATGTTGTGTTAGTAGGAATGACAGTAAGTCATCTACCCTCCACCCCACCCCAAGAACATGTTAACAATTTTGACCTCTTTCAAAGCCGGAAAGTGAGGATTGAGCAGCTCCAGCCCAGATATGGCAACAAAATTTCATTTTCGGCCCAATCTGATTGTTTTAAAGATAATCCATGACAGAAAAAGGAAGTTATGTATTTCCTGGAGTGATAGAATGTATGTGACCAAGAGTTTTATGATTTGTATTGTTTTTCATTCTTGTCTACTTCAACATTTTTGTTCACTTTTTTCTTCTTTTCATTGTTTACATTTTAGCCAATGCCCTCTTCAACCTTCCTCAGACATCCCTCACAGCTGTTAACTGCATTTTTTTTAATCATTTCACAAGGAAATAAAAGCCACTCGGATACAGGAGTTATTGAGAGGGAAACAGAGAAAGGACAATAAAAGAACAGGATTTAAGGAAAGAAGATAATGATTCACTGACATTGCATTTAAATTTTGCAGATCATAGTTGACAAGCAATTAGGAAGCTGGAAGACAGTTCCACAAGTGAGAAGTAAGAGAGAATAAACTATTAGCATAGAACTTATGATTACAACGAGCAATTTTGACTTTGAAATTTTGAGACCTAACTGCCAATCTAGAACCATGCTTAAATTCTTAAAATGCTTAAATCTCTACAATTTATATTTTTGTTGCCATTACAAAAGTTCTGATGACAAATACTTCCAATAATCTGTTTATTATCCACATCCTTGTGTAGTGACGAGTTTTTTTCCACTCTGCAATCCCTTTCACACAGTCAAAATCTTGCAAGTCTCTTGCTGCTCGATTGCTATTTCCATGGAAAGTGTTCAGATGAACTACATTCCTTAATTCTATCAGTTCTAACCTTCAAGACTAAGACACACCATGCCACATAGTGACCCAGCCTCATTCCATTCATATTCCATTCAAGCAGCTTTTTCCCATAAACCACTGCATTGTGGAACCAAATTCCAAGAGGATGCTTCTCCAATCACTACAACCTTAAAATGTTCAAGTCTCGAGTTAATCATTATCTTCCACACATATCCACATAAACTTTACCACTTACGCTGTATCCCTATACTTTAGGTGGCTCTTGGGACTTCTACAGGGTGATAATCATTGTAAAAAAAATATCAATACAACAGTCACTAGTAAGTATAGTCATATGCACAGATCAATGACAAGTTTGTTAGAAAACCAAATACTTGTTGTTTAAAATAAAAAAAAAAATGGAAAGAAAAGCTCATCAGAACAATCAACCATGAAAATATTTATAGAAGTGGCAAAGGGAAGCTATGTTACATCAGTGGAAAAGTGACTAAAGCCTAGATGCCAGGTCAGGACTGCTAGCATTGCTGATTCTTCTTTGGATTTTGCCAAGAATTTAGATATAGCAGAAGCACCAGATCAACTGCGACAGCATTTCAATGAAAGCATATTCTTATTTCTTTAATTTTTTTATGACACGTATCCTTTGTAGAGATTGAAGCCACAACTCATCTATTGTACATATTTTTTTAATGATCCATATTACAATAAATGTGAAAGGCACAAATCTATCTCTATTCTCTCTAGCTAGCAGGGTAGACTGAGCTCTCTAGCCTTGGGTGGTAACCAGTCTAAGAGAAGGAAAACTGTATCCCAAACTCTGGAGAAAGCAGAAATTAATAAGGAAAAGGAATCTGTGGAGAGTCCTGAGTGCTTATATCCTGAAGGGACATGTCATCAAAATATAAAAGCTATGTGAAGCCACTTCAGTATCTTTCCTAAGAAGGTTTGGTGATCCACAGATAATAAAGAAAAGAAATCTGTGGAGAGTCATGATCACCTATAATCCTGAAGAAAAGGACAGTTCTAAATTCCAAACTCTGGAGAAGGCAGTGGGAAACCATTCCACTATGTTTTACAAAAAATGCATGGCAATTCAAAATTAAAAAAGAAAAGGAATCTGTGGAGAGACATGATCACTTACATCCTGAAGGCACATTTAATATTAATACTGTGATATATGATGGGAAAGGTCAAATAATCCAATATTCAAACTGTTGTAATGTAGGCAAAAAAGATAAGGATGCTAGTCTGTAAAAGTCATTGAATGAGACAAGTATTTCATTTTAGAATTTCCCATAAAAAAAAATCAGTCTTTATCTTGTAAAATCGTTTCAAGTAAAATCATCTTCCCAGTACTCCTTTTACTCAAGGGAATACAGGTGATGAAACATTAAAAGTTGTACATTACATGATTAGTTGTGTTGCATTACATCCCAGTGATTTTTGCCAGTCAGTTTACAGTTAACATTCATATGCTACAGAGTTGTCCTTTATTTATTCTTTGTGAATATTTTCAGTGTTGCATTTTTGAAAAGAAAGATGTTTTTGTTTTGAAAAATTCAGTTACCCATCACAATAAAAAAGAGAAAACTGAAAAGTGATTGTAAATACAAATTAAATGAGCAACAAGCAAATGAGAACATTACTTACAGCTATAAATGCATTTTTACTCAATGAACAAAAACTACTAAGATACCTAGTAGCATGGAGATGAAACTTGCTGACTTCAGAAAAAGATTCATTATCGAAAGTGAAATCTGATGCTTTTAATATTTTATTCATTTCTAGGGATATTGTGAACATTTTCTAGAAATAAAAAAATTTGCTCAGAATTCTATCTGCTATTTTAGAAGAATATACAAATGTAAACAAGTATTTTGAGCTATAAAATTAATTAAAAAAAATGATATTGTGATTAATCAAAATTTTAAAAAATTAATTCAAAATCAAAAACAAAATCTCATTTGAATGATCAAAATTTGAACGATACCTTGCTGCTGTTGCCAGTAAAGAATTTAACTCCAAACATAAAAAGCAAGGCCAGAATCAAAACAGTCTTGTTGTTTGCAGAAAATCAATTCTTAAAAGGTGAATGGCTGCCAACCACTGTTTAAGACACTGATTTTTTGGTAAGGAACCTAAAGCCTGTCTGACATTTCTCATTCAAAAAGGGTTGATTAGGACACAGATTCATACAAGATTCTTTCAATGACTATAAAAGCATTTTCACTTAGTGAACAAAATCATCCCAAGGCCTGACAACGTAAAAATGAAATTTGCTGACTTAAGAAAAAATTAATGATTGAAAATGAAACAATGAGTTTCCTTCCATCACAAATGTTTTAACATTATGAATTTCTAATGATTGGTACCCATTGAATATTTCCTTGAAATAAGAAAATTTGCTCAAAATTCTATCTGTTATTTTAGAACAGTGTACAAATATAAACAAGTATTTTCAGCTATGAAATTAATTTAAAAACAAATGATATTGTGTTGATCAAAATTTGAAAAAATTATTTGCTACACTCAATAACTAATTCAAATCCAAACATTAAAAATTTGGCAAAATCAAAACAGTCAAAAGTTTCACGAAGGCAAGTAATCCTCATCTTGTTTTTAAATTAAGTTGTTAAATTATATAAAATTGTTAAATATATTTATATAAATTTATTACAAGAACTAATGGGCATATAAGAGAGGTATGGAATATCTGAAATTGTGTGCGAAAAATTGATACATAAAATGTGAAATATTAACAACTCCTGTTTTAGACATTTTTTATTGGGGAACCTAAATCCTTTTCTCATTCAAAATGGATTGATTAGGGCACTGATTCATATAAGAAGATTTTTTCAATGATTATCTGATAGCAATATCTCATTTCTAAGTAGGAATATTCTTTTTAGGAACTGAGGTTTGCATGCATTAGTGTTTAAAAAAAAGACACTTGAGCAGCATCACCCTCACTCTGTCATTCCAATTCACTACTGTTGATTGATTGATTTCTTTTTTCTGGCTTATCAACCCTTTACAGATTATTTAAAGCCAGAAGATGTTTTTAGATTGTAAGATTTTTTTTTAGATAATAATTATTTAGTGATACAAGTCTTACTAATTAACCCATAGCTGGGGAGAGAAGAGGTGGATTCATACCTTTACTAAGGGTATTTGGGTGTAAGTGAATATAACAAACCCAAATGGAATTGGAACTCAGCTCTCTGATTATCAATTCTGAGTCATTATCCATTATACCACTTGCTCATTCAAGCCTACAGCAGCTGGTATTCCCAAGTGATCACACATCTAAGTACTGACTAGGCTTGACATTGCTTAACTTCAGTGATTGTACAAGAACTGTTGTTTCCACATGATATGGCTGTAAATTATTCATTGTTGTGGTATGTCAGTAGAAAGGTAATAGTCTGGATGATTAGTGATAGGAAAAGATTATTTAGAATTTAATTTAAAGTTTATTAGCATAAAAAGGTCATGTTAGAAATCAGATTGCAAGTGAAAGTTAATAGTGTAGTGGGGGGGGTTCTCATTTCTGCTCAACTGAAGATCAAAAGATTTTTGAAGGTTGTTGAAACAGCACATTGAATAGGTATTGAATTAAAGTGCCCATAAAATATAACTTAATGCAAAAAGATCTGGGTGATTTGCAACTGAATGATAATATTGTGGGATCTGGGATAATATTTTAGTGTTTCCATCTGTGTTCCACTGGAGGGAATTCATTGAGTGACTTTCTTTTTATGGATTGATAATTTTTGTGGGTTATTTAAAGCCAAAATATATTTCAAATTGTATGACGTTGCTTACAGTACCTGGTGTTTCCAAGCAGTCACCCATTTAAGCATTGATTAGGTTTGACACTGCTTAACTTCCATGATCAAACAAGAACAACTGGAGAGAGGATTTCTCAAGGGAGATTTTTTTTTTTTACAGAAAAGTTCACCCTATACAAGGCCTGGGGCCACTTGAGTTTGAGGGTTACATTATGATTAAGGAATAGTTTATATGTATAGAAGAGTAAGATAACAGTTAACTCTAGACTTGAACAGGTTAAGATTGTAGTGATCAAGGAAACATCCTCTTGGGAGTCTGTAAGTGTAATGCAATGTAAGTAATGTAATGTAAGTGACATGGCAGGTCCTAGCCATGAAGCTTAGATCTGCTGGAACCAACGAATGTAGTTCATCTGAGCATTTTCCATGGATGTAGTGATAGAGCAGTAACAAGCTCATCACATCCTGCATGTGAGAGAGAGTTTGGAGGGTGGAAAATAATTCTTCTCAAACAAGGACTCAGAGATGCTTTGGAAAGATGAAAAGTAAAGACTGAGAAGCTCCCACCCAAATATGACAGCAGTACTCCATTTTGGGCCTAATCTGGCTCTTATAAAAGAAAAGGATAGCATGAGGAGTCAGGTACTTATTTGAGCGGTACAGGCAGTTGATCATTTTACCTGCATCTTTAGCAATGGATTGTATGTAAGAGTTACAACAGATCGTATGTATAACTGCTGAATGCTAATTATAGAGTATTATTCCTTATTTACATATAAGTAAAAAAAACTGAGTCTCCAGAAATAGCTCCATTTTTGCATATAAAACACAAGATATTTTTCTCTATCCAGCTTGCGGGTAATAGCCATGTGAACTGCTTTCTCTTTCGTATTTGGTCGTCTACACGAAGAACAACAGTTCAAAATCATTGAAAAGAGATCAGAAAATAACTCTATTATCTTTCTTAAGAAAAAAAACATGGCAAGGAAAGGTTTGCAGATATTAAAGAAAAAGCAAACTTTGTTAAGTTATGATTGCCTATAAACTGGGGAGACATGGTATTTAAAAATAAATGAATCATTTGTAATTATTTAATCATATTCTAAATGCTTTCTGAAATCCTATGACAAAATATTTTCATTATCCTTTATATATTTAAAATTATTATATTTACCATTTTGTCTATTATTTTATTTGACACAACTTAAATTTACTGGTCTACCTCTTAAAAAAAGGGAAATGTTTTTGTAGTTTAACCTTCATTAGACCTTTCCCTTCCTTTCAATATGTTTCTGAATCAAAAAATTTTGATGTTTTTTATCATTTTAGAAGTGAGCTGACCCTGTTCATAATACAGTGTCAAATAGATTCCTGATATCATAAAGAGTTATTTGTACTTTGTTTTTATTTACAAGTGTTAAGTTTGAAAATGGACTTACATCATTGATAACTGAATACTACTGATGTTGTCCATAGAAGAAAACAACACATAACCTACTTGGTGTGCTTGAGTGAATGGATGGCAGAGCAAGGTTTGGGAGAGACAGCAAAAAGAAAAAAATTATTAAGAGCTACAAAGGACAGGCAGGGCCTATGAGAAGTGGGTCCAGCCAATACTTTGTTCCAGGGGCCAAGATTTCAGAAGGGATCCACAGCAACCATGTAACACCCATCTCCTTGGAGAACAAGCACTTTTTACCAACTCCAGCCTGACATTTATATACTCAAACATCACTATACAGATCACACAACACTTACTTCTGTTTATTAGTATTTATTATTATTTATTCTAGGCCTAGTTGTATAAACATATGATAACACCAAGAGTATCTCCCTACAGCCCGAAGTAGTTGTATAGATGCATAAATTAACATAATGATGTGACTAGTGTGCACCAAAATTTTTGCATCATCATGTGCCTGTATGTATTATTATTCTGTTTTACAAGTACTTTATACATTTTAATCTGATCACGGAAACAAAGTGTTTAAGAGACATTACGTGTAGATTTACTGGACATTAAATCCTTAATTTTATGTGTAGATTTACTGGACATTAAATCCTTAATTTTGATAAAAATCTTTGCCTGTCTTGAGGGCTCCAAAGGGGTCTTGTATCACCTTGCAAAATTCCTCTTGGAGGCCCTGAGGACAGTAAATTGTGGAGAGCCATGATCGCCAACATCCAGAAGGGATATAGAAGAAGTTTTGCCTTCTCATCGGATGTATTCAACCTATACAGTGAGGCGATTCTGAGAGAATTAGAAGTCCAACCAGGATTCATTATTGATGGACACAATCTTAACAATATTAGATATGCAAATGATACAGTGTTCATAGCAGACATGGAAAGGAAACTACAAATCAAAAGAACTAGGTATAAGCTACAAGAAGACAGAATGCATGGTTATCAGAGGAAGGATAGTGCAACACTGAGATCTGAAGACGTATTGAGATGGCCAAAGCTACATTCCAAAAGCTAAGAAGAGTATTAAGAGACAGAAAAAAATAGTTAGAAACAGCTAACATACCAATTACCATTAGAGGTGAAGTGAACAAATTCTGCACTTTCATTCCAGTATGATCACCAAGGAGTGAAGAAAAAGCCTAACTTTCATTGCACTGGTTGCTTGGGCAGTGAATGCTGAATGTTTCCTTATAAGGAAACATGTAATATTACCATTGCCATTAGAAATGAAGAGAACAGATACTACACTTTGATTCCAGCCCAATGTCCAAGGAAGAAAGAAAAGTGTAACTCATGGAGCACTGGCTGCTTGTGCAATGAAGGCCGAATGTTTTCACATAAAAAATTAATACAGTGAGGCGATTCTGAGAGAATAAGAAGTCCAACCGGATTCATTATTGATGGACACAATCTTAACAACATTAGATACACAAATGTACACAGTGTTGATAGCGGACATGGAAAGTAAACTACAGGATCTCCTACAAAAGGCAGTAAAAGAAAAGGAGAAGGAAGAACAATAGCTGCCAGTAAAAGAAAGATGTGAATTCTGAATTAGAGTCACCAAAAGTGAGCAAGAACAAAAATTTTAGTACCTAGGAAGAACTTTAACATTTTTAAAATGTGACACTGAAATCTGAAGGCATATTTGAATAGAGAAAGATGCCTTGCAAAAGTTAAGCAAAGTATTAGGAAACTTTTGTAAGAAAGAAAGAAAACAGTACTGGATTGTTATGTAATATCGGTACTCCTATATAGAAGTGAATTCTGGACAGTCGCCTCACAGATGGGGAAGAGACTTGAGGCAATGACATGAACTGAACGTGTGAGTAACGAGAAAGTTTCAGAGAAAATGGAAACAAAAAGGACACTTAAAATAAGAAAGCAGTAATTTCTAGTGCACCTTATGAAGAAAGAAAGTTTTGAAAATTTAACATTCAAAGGACAAAGGAAAGTAGTGAATAACCTACCTAACAAGTTTGGGTAAATGGTTGAGAGTACAGGGAATAGGAGAGATAGCAGCAGCAACAACAACAACAATAACAAGAGCATGCAGTTACCAGTTAATCTTCAAAAATTGTTAAAAAATTCTTCCCAGTTTTTTATTGTAGTGCCTATTATTAGGCTTTCTTTGGGGTGTGTCTGTTGCATCCTTTTTTTCTTCTCTTGCAAAGGTATGAGGAAGTGAAACATTGACAATTAGAGAAAACAGAATTGGTAAATAAATTCTAAAATGTGACTAATGGTGCTTACAAAATAACCTTGGAGAACACTATCAATCCTCTCAATGAATGAGTGATCATTTCGACAAAGCAATCTTCTTATCTTCCCAAGAAGCAGTCAACTCGTACATTTTTATTTTTATCTTCTTCATTTCAAAACACCACAGTCCAACAGAATATTAGAATTTTGTGCTAATCATATTAAAATATAAACAGACAAGAGTGAAAGGGATTATTTATTTATTTTGAGAATGTTACTTTTTGCTGAGCCCTCTTGTGTAGATTGTCAATAAATTGATAATGTTTCATCACCATGGAGCAGATCCTAAATTTATCCCAATCCTGATGAGTGGTCACACCCTCAATTAGGCTTCTTGACTTGAACATCTATTGGGTTTAAATCTCATTCCAGACCTCAAATTGAACTCGTATATTTGTGCCATTGCTAAAGAAGCTGGAAGAATCAATCCGGAAAATACCTGCTACTATGTTTTATCTTTACAAGAGTTACATCAGGCCAAGAATGGAGTTCTGCTACCATATCTGGATAGGGATAGCCTTGACAGTATTCAAAAGCAATTATATGGGCTTATGGGAGATAAATTATTTTCCACCCTGTAAACTTTATTCCACAGACAAGATGTTGTTAGCTTCTCATTACTCTATCATTATTGCTGTGGCAAATGTTCAAATGTATTACATTCCTTAGTGCCACCAGTTGAGACCTTCACAGCTAGGACCTGCCATTCCATGCTTAAGGTGGCAAACCATCCCCATTCTCTTCAGATTCCTTTTTGGTAAGGAGGCAGTTCCACTCAAACTGCTTCTACCTCAAACTGTTACTTTGTGGAACAGACTCCCAAGAGGATTTTTTCTGGAAGACTACAAACAAGTACATTATCT